GTTTCTGTGGAGGTGGAGGGATCAGGAATCAAAAGTTTTGTGTCTCTTTTGTAGGAAATGTATACTTGTTTGTGCATTCTGCAATTTCCAGTGAGGGTGGAAGCATGTTGTAAAATTAATGGGGGGAAATGTCAGTAGAATGTTGCTGTTGTTGTTGTTTAAAAAAAGAATGGCTTGTAATTTAATGCCGTCTGAAAGACAAAAGCTGGCCACAACAGCATTCTATAGATTTTGTTTGTTTGTTTGTTTGACGTATATATACTGCCCATCATCATAAGATTGCAGGGCAGTTCACAAGATAAAAAAATACAAGGCAGGGGTGCCAACTTGAATAAAATATTGTGGGGGCCCAGGTAAGCCCCCACACCACATAACTGATCACATGACACAGTGCACACACACCATTTGAATGAGATGCCCATCAACTTTGTGGGGGCCCAGCCCCCTGAAATACTTTATTGTGGGAGCTGAAGTCCCCAAGGCCCCTAGGAATTGGCTCCTATGTTACACGGGAAAAGCACAAATAAATAGATGAAGCTGTGCTAAATATATGTGAACAAATATGCGCCTTTTTTTTTTTTAGCATCTCCCTATAACATTTATCATGTTAATTAACTAACTGCAAGAAGAAAGAAAAAGTCAAAGAAAAAGAGCATGTGCTCGTCAAGCGGCTGATGACTGCAAGTTACTATCTGTACTTTTTCTGGGGAACTCTCTCTCTCTCTCTCTCTCTCTTATTATGATTACCATTATTCACACCCAGGGCCGGTTATGACTGTACTTCAAATTACAGTAAGAGACAAAAATGGAAGAGGTCTGTGGAGTCGTTCTGCGGGAAGAACATTGTGTCATGCAGCCCAACAGCAAAATAGAAAAATTGCATGTAATTATTTCCGAAGCTGAGCTTGATGATGATGATGATGTGCATGGGAAGAACTAATGGTGATGCACTCTGCTTGTTAGACGCCTTCCTTCCTGGCACCTCAAGGTTACAATAAGTGCACTTTGCGGGGGCTATTCCCCCGCCCTTCCTGCTACAGCCAGAATGTCACATCCACAAATAAATTCTGCATAGAGGGGGTTAATAATAATGTCTCCAAGATATTCTTAAAAATAATTTTAACCAAAGTCTGGTGCAATGCGAGGCTGGCAGCAATTCCTCCTCCTCCCCGCCTCCCCCTTTAACTTCAGGCATCCTGTATTGATTGATTAATTATTCTCCCAATGAACTAACAAATATTGACCTCATACAGTTGAGCAGCATTTAGCCAAAAGTCCATAATCTACATTGATCACTTAATGGAACATCAAAGCTCAGCAGCTCTGACAGTTTTATGTCATTCAGCAAAAATCCACCCAGGCCTAGACGATACCCTGACCTTTCCTGTTAGGCATCCTTTGCAGTAAACTCAAGCAGTGTAATAAAATTAAGGATTGTTGTGGCTAACGCTTTGTTGCAGGGATAGGAGCTGTTGTTGCCCTGATCCCATTGGCCATCCCAACAGATTTACCACCAAGTTAAGGTCACGGAATTTGCGTAAGCAGGCAGCGACCACCCCAGCCCCCAGGGACCACCAGAAAGAAATAATGACTCTTGAAAACGTGTTGTGGAATTAAAATCTGGCCACAACTTTATTAAACTTTCAAAGGTAGGAAGAGCTTGGCTTAGGCAATGGGCATGTATCCCTCCCAGCCCCCGAGCCGGGAGAACTGGGGCTCCTCAGTGTAAATGGGATATGGGGGTGTCCTGCAAGACGCATGTGTACACAGGAAGCCCACCCCCATATCCCCACACACAGGGTAGTTCGCTGACAACCTTTCAGTGTATGGCCAGTGACACCCATATTACAACCCCTTTAAGAGGGGACCCTGGAATGACCGCCATGGGGTGTGTGTGTCACCACTTTACACCCGCCCCCCCATTTTAGGGAAGAAAAGACAAAAGGATTCCGCCCAAGGCCTTAAACCATCAAAGTTGTGATGAATTGCTACAGGGAAGATAAAACCTGCCAATGCAGGAAAATTTCTTCCTGGTTCTTCAACAGCAACCAGTCGAAAGACCGTAGCAGCGCCCGCTAAACAGGAAGAAAAAAGGTTAAGAAATTTTATTTTTAAGGAAGGGTTGGGTGGGTGAAACTCCTGAGCTGACTGCCCCTATTTATGTGACTGGCTCCAACTCCCAGCCGTGTAAATTGACCTCCAAAGAATAACACTGAGAGGCAGGCCAGCCCATACAATCGGTAAGTTCCCTGGGGTCCGAAGCGCCGTGCGCGATCCCGCAAAGGGCACCCACGGTGTAAAGTGTGAGTGCTCATTATCTTCAGACAATGTTTCTCTCCCTGAAAGTGGGAGGGTTTTTAAAAAGCAAAAGGCGGAAGGAAATCACTGAAATTTTGAGTTGGAAAGGACCAGTCAGGTCATCTTGTTCAGCCCACTCCTCAGTGCTGGAATGTAACTACACTGCCTGCGACAGGCGGCCACCCAGCTTCTGCCTTAAATGAGAGGACGGGACAAGCAGAGCTCATCTAGTGCAACCCATCTTGGAATGACAAAAATGTTTATAGGCTGAGTTCTTATGTGGACTTAAATAAGAAGCATGGGTTGAAGTGCTGTATACAGGAGATCTAGTTTATGCATTCTTTGGAATCACAAGTTGCACCAAGCTGGGCTGCTGGTGGGTCACATTTTAAAAAATAATAATCTGTGTATAGAAAACGAAAATCCTCAGGAAAAGTGGGACATTCTGGTATCAAATCAGAAACCGGGACGGCTTCTCTAAAGGGACGTCGCTGGAAAATAGAGACAGTTGGAGGGTCTGTGACTGATTGACTGCATGTATATACCACCTTTGATTACACACACACACACACACACACACACACACAAACCACACACACCACTTTTCTGTCAAGGCACCCAGGGCAGTTTACCATTTAAAAATACTAAAACACACACACATACATATATAAATGTAAAGTGGGTCTGGGGGGTGGGCACAGCCCAACTGAAAGAGGCCCTAATATTGCCTGGCCTCTTCCTTGCTGTCCTCTTCCTTCCCACAGGGCAAATTATAGCCTTCCTACTCAAATCTCCCTCTCTCTCACCCAACTAACCTGTGAGTCTCTATCCTACCCAGTCATCTGCGCAACCTGCTACTCTTGCCTTGACTCTGGCTCTGGAAGAAGAGGGGCCTTTCTCTTTCCTCCTCTCCCAATCTCCCAACACTTACGGGACTCCCATAAGGCTTACTGCTGAAAGTTCATGAAACAGTTTAAACAGTCTAAAGCATTAGATAAATGCTAAGATGGTGACAATGATCCCACTCGGATCAACTTATTTTATTTCCAGAGGACTCAGCTTTCATTAATCTTCTCGGGGACCATTTCATCGTATTTAGCACATGTGAAATTGCAGGCTATTTTCAACACCTGGAATAAAGGACATTGTTTGTAAATCACCTGCACAAAAGGCACAAATGACCTTTTCGCATGCTGCTGCTGCTGCTGCTCAAGTGCGTCTTTTGTATTTTCTGCAGGTTGCAACCCCAACACAAATCTGTTTGGGGGTGTGTGACTAATTTATGTTTGCCCAAGTTGCAGTCTTGAAAATGGTACATTCTGCTGCCGCCTGACGACATCCAGCAATCAGTGTCAATTACGCGTGGTTGCCATGGTGACTAGAGAGCCAACAGTTCTTAAATCTTCATTGGACCACGAGTTTTACAAATACAGTGCCATTACGAAGGGCTTGCTTACAATGGGCAGGAATAAAATTGCTCCCAGGTCTTTCGCACAAAGTTTAAGAAACTGCTTTGTACAAATAATTCTATAAATAACGCCATTCATTTCTCGAATAAAAAGGATCACACTGTGTTGCCTCGAAGATAACTGATGGGTCGTCATCCCCCCACCTTCCCAATGAATGAAATAAATACCATTTAATTCTGTATTTTAGGGTATTGTAGCTTAAGAAGGTATCAGACAGACAGACAGACAGATATTAAGAGTCAGTTTTGAGAGTTTGGGCAGTGTGACTAAGAAAACGAATTCTGTATGGGGCTATGCAGATGCAAGTGTTAGGCAATACAGAGAAGATCAGGCTCAAATTGCAATCACTTATATGGGGAGGAGTAACCTGAAGTGTAGGTGGGTTCAGGCATTCAGCTCAAAAAGGATTTATTGGAACATCAGGAACAAGAAGAACAAGAATGACAAACATGGGCACTTGCCCATTATATATACCTTAAGCCGGCCCAGGCAGATGGGATGATTAACAATAATCTAGGACCATCGCCTCCTGGCAAATAGAAGGGGAAGAAATGGAGGCAGTGAGAGATTTTACTTTCTTGGGCTCCATGATCACTGCAGATGGTGACAGCAGCAACGAAATTAAAAGACGCCTGCTTCTTGGAAGAAAAGCAATGACAAACCTAGACAGCATGTTAAAAAGTAGAGACATCACCTTGCCAACAAAGGTCCGTATAGTAAAAGCTATGGTTTTCCCAGTAGTGATGTATGGAAGTGAGAGCTGGACCATAAAGAAGGCTGATCGCCGAAGAATTGACGCTTTTGAATTATGGTGCTGGAGGAGACTCTTGAGAGTCCCACGGACTGCAAGAAGATCAAACCTATCCATTCTTAAGGAAATCAGCCCTGAATGCTCACTGGAAGGACAGATCGTGAAGCTGAGGCTCCAATACTTTGGCCACCTCAAAGGAAGAGAAGACTCCCTGGAAAAGACCCTGATGTTGGGAAAGATGGAGGGCACAAGGAGAAGGGGACGACAGAGGACAAGATGGTTGGATAGTGTTCTCGAAGCAACCAGCATGAGTTTGTCCAAACTGCGGGAGGCAGTGGAAGACAGAAGTGCCTGGTGTGCTCTGGTCCATGGGGTCACGAAGAGTCGGACACGACTAAACGACTAAATAACAACAACAGGAACTGAGAAACACTTGAGAGAATAAAGTATTTATAATGTGACCTATTGCCATCAATAACATGGCATTCCTGTCTCCTTTGTTGTTTGTTTGTTGATAAGGGGCTTTTTCTTCTGTTCTTCTTACTGATCTGCTCAAAAAATGTGTGCTTCACAGTGGGTTGGTGTATAAAACATCATCTACATGCTAGGTATTCTTTTATTTGTCCTGAACTTACTGCCAAACTTCATTGGATGGTTTCCAAATTCTAGAGTTCTGAAAGAGAGACGTACACAGAGAATTATTTCTTCCTATTAGCGCTGCCATACCGTTCAAGGATGCACACTTAAAAGAAAATAGCCTTCGTTAGGATTCCCCTTGATTTCTTTCTTCCCTTGCCTGCAAGTTGTAGGCAAATATAATGGCAAGGGATACATCAAAACCCACTAAAAGGCTCCGTAGTGCAACCATTGTCAAACCACTTTAAGGATTTTCTAATACGCAGCTCCTATTTTTCTCAATTGACATCATAGTGGGTGCAGCTAATGGAAAGAGACATGGGACATAATGGACCAACTAGCTCCTGGCTGGGAAGAAGCAAATGGATCATGAATCCAGCTCTGCTCACTAAAACAGGCCTAACGCTGAATAGGAGAGAGGATAATTCCCAGTCCCCCGCTCCTGCCAGCCACATTCCCTTCCAGACAGAAACCAAAAAACTGCCTCAAAGTGTTTTGCTTTCCTCATTATCCACCTCCCCACTCCATCATAAAAGCCAGCCAGGCAAGCTCAAGGCTGTTTGCTTTTAAATGAATCATAGCAGTACAATAAAGATGCAACACAGAGATTAAATATAAATCAATGACATAAGCTGATGCTTATATCCAAATGTACCAAAGAGCAAAAAATAAATAAATGCTCACAGTCATGAAAGGTTCACCCAATAATGTGCCACAGAGGTGAGCTTTGAGTAGTATGGTGCGTCCTGTATCAGCCCTGCTGCTCCTACAACATGATTAAGGGACTTGTGGGGATTTGGTCATGTGATCCTGTTAGCAGTTCACAACATTTCCTGCCCAAGATGGAGACATGATAGCTGTTTAAGGAAGACCATGAGTTCTCATTAGCTCAGGTAATTTGGACTCTGTGCAAAAAGACCTCTCTCAAAAACACACCAACCTATTCATGGGCAGAAGAATCAGGGTGTGTGGGCGGAGGGAACAATTTCTCTGAATTTTTCCAGGGGGTGGAGAATTCATTTGTTTGTTGGTTGGTTTGCAGCATTTTTTAAATAACATTTTATTTAATTTTCCAAAAATAACAAAAATAAAACAGTAACAATAACAAAACAAAACAAATTGACTTCCCTCTACTCCCTTCCTTGGTTCCATTGTTTATCAACATACTGCATATCCGTTGTAAAGTTATAAACCATTGTATTACTTATTATCCATTCAAAATTAAATTACAAGTAGTATTAAAACCCTGCCAATGTACATTGCTTTTGACTATATGCAATAAACTCTTTCCAATCTTCCTTAAATTCAGTGTCGTCTCTTCTTCTTAGTTTCATTGTCAATTTTGCCATTTCAGCATATTCCGTTAATTTAACTAGCCAGTCTTCTTTAGTTGGGACGCCTTCTTCTTTCCAATGTTGTGCTGATAATATTTGTGCGGCCGCAGTTGCATACATAAATAAGTTCTTTAGTGATCTTGGTAAAGCCACTCCAGTAATACCTAGTAGGAAAGCTTTTGGGGGATTTTAACAAAAGTTGTTTTAAACATCTTCTTCGTTTCATTATAAATCATTTCCCAATATTTCTTTACAATTTTTCTATTTCACCACATAGAAAAAAGCCCCTTCTGTTGTTTTACATTTCCAACACTTACTTTTATACAATTTTGCTAATTTCACTGGAGTTAGATACCATCTATACATCATTTTCATATAATTTTCTTAATGCTGCAAACAAACAAACAAAATTATATGTTTGCAGCATTTATACCCTGCCCTTTAACCAAAAGGGCTTCCAAATGGCTTACAAAAATCTTTTCTAAGACTGTTCCTCCCTTGAGGCTCGTGGCAGGCGAGGAAAAAGGAACAGGCGGGAGAAGGAGGGGAAAGCAAGCTCAAGCTTATAGCTACAGGGTCAAATTAAACATTGTGCTATGACAAAAGCTCTGTCTGCACAAGCATTTCATCTTTCCAAACAAAATAAGCCCCCCAACCCACCACACCACATACTGTTCTTGGGGTTCTTCTGACATCCCCAGCACCACCACCATGAGAGGCACAGCGTAAGGAGAGGGGGGGGACCCACTGCACAAGTGGAAGTCCGTACACAGGGCTCACACCGACATGCTTGCGAGGTGAATCCTGCCCACAGTTCTTGAAATCACAGCCGATGTCAGTGATGGTTCTGCTTGCCTTCCTTTTGATTTGGCCTGTGTCATGTTTGGAAGGTATGCGGTCCTCCTGCCCACCATTCAGAGTGGCTCATGGCCATAAGGCTGGCCCTAGCATGAGGTAGGGGCATGTGGCTGCCTCTGGTGGCAGCATATTGATGGAGGGTGGGGAGAAATGGGATGGTTTTAGAAAACATCTGAAGGCAGCCCTGTTTAGGGAAGCTTTTAATGTTTAATAGATTATTGTATTTTAACGTTCTGTTGGAAGCCACTCAGAGTGGCTGGGGAAACCCAGCCAGATGGGCGGGATATAAATAATAAATTATTATTATTATTATTATTATTATTATTATTATTATATTGTACCATTTGGCCTCTTAGCCAGCATGGTGAAGGACACTAAGCATGGCCAACTGCAAGAGTAGAGCCCTGCCTTTTGATAATACTAATTCTTGATGGGGGTGTAGGTTTTGTCCCTTCCCCCTTACTGCCCTCCTTTTAAAATTGCCCAAGCTCTGAATGCAGTGGTTACCCCTTTAAGACCTGAAAGACTTGTACATATATCAGTCCTCACAGTGAACTTGCCACATGCTGCCACAGCGCTTTATTAGCCTGCTTTTCGACAGCCTTAAGCGAGATATTCAAAAATAAGAGTCCCTGCCTTGGCAAGTAATATGTAGCCATCTAGGTGGTATGCCCTGATTTACATTTGGCTTACTCCATATTTTCCACGAGTGCATAACTCTTTTCTAGGTTTCCCTGAGTAAGTAAATTTAACTCCTACTGAAAGCTCCAGTAACTGCTTTAAGCAGGATGGATTTAGCATTTGCAAATGTTACCTTTACAGCACTTTTTGCAGCCTCTGCATTCCTGAAATTTGCAAAAGGACAGTGATAATGGTTGCCGCAAAGATTTTTCAATAGCAGATTTTTACTAGTTTCTTCCTCTGAAACCGTCAGTAACAAATGATTCAGTAATAATAGATGCTTGCTCTCGCCGTACCCTCTTATGTTGATTTCTTGTATGGTACACGCAGCTTTGATTTCTTGGGTGCCTTTAAAGCACATTTCTTGTAATTGTTTTCTCAGAACGACACCAGCAAGATTGTCAGATAAAACAGTGGCCTCGTCCTCCACCATTTCTTTAAGGCCAGAGGTGGGGCAGTGCTGTGAGGTGGGGCGGCTGCAGAGCTCTGGATAAATGTTAAATGGTAAGAAATGTTCACATACCCTGGGCCACCTCACAGCAATAAGGTAAGCTGAAGTTCAACCCCATGCCCGCTAAAATTATGAAGAAATAAAGTGCCCTGTAAATGATGCAGAAAAAACAGAAACATCTTTTGTGGGGAAGAAACCTTTAGAGAAATTAGATAAAAGGTTTTGGCACAGCACCGACACACATGGTAGACTGGCCATGTCAACAGTTCATTATAAGCCTACATCACAGGCAAATTGTTTACTCAGACTAGAGTTTTACTAAATACACATTCAGTCCATGCAAATGGAACATGTCAGCACCAGTGGTGGGGGTAGGGATGGGGTGAAATTTCAATTCCGTTTGCCTACCTAATTTGGACTTTCCAAAACAATAGGTGAACCAAAACGCTGTCATCCTTCATTATTTGCATTTCTCTGAGTTTTGCAATACTGTTCTTCAGTCAAGTAATGTGTGCAAAAATGCATAGACTGCAGTTGAGTGTCGGTGAAAATGCATATATTGGTGCAAATAACATGCAAAAGTGCATTAGTTTAGGGGAAATTGTTTTACCAAAAATGTTTATTTTAGGCAAAATTGCATAGAAAGAAAATCGTGGACTTTTCTCTAAAGGAAACTGATGTGGGAATGTGAAGAACTGGATTTAGGACTGGAAAAATAAAATAAAAAGTACATGCAACCAAAACTGACAGATTCAGCCATCTCTAGATGTGTGCATGGAATCCATAATACATACTAAGGAGTACCAATTCTGATGGCTTTAAAAGGAATTTAGACAAACCCATGCAGAAAATGGGCTATCAATGACTATTAGTCTGTATTGCTTTCAGATATCTTTACGTTGCTGTACACTTCCCCTCTGCAAGAGGGCAGTACATAAATACTTACATATATGTTTATGTGTGTATGTGTGTGTGTGTGTGTGTGTGTGAGAGATATATATATATATATATATATATATATATATATATATGTCATGATGGGTTTGTTCTACACCCTGGGTCAGAGGCAATATTTCTCTGGGAATCAGAACTGTGGAGACTTCTACTGCACTTTGGTCCTGCTTCTAGGCATCACCACTGGTGGAGGAAGAGGAGTGCAGGGGAAGCGCACCACCCCCGGTAGCGCAATCCCCAGGGTGCCTCCCCCGCCCGCACTGGGTGCCCCGCCCCCACAGGTGGTGCGCCAGCCCCGCCCCTGCCTGCTCTCCACCCCCAGTGCCAGAGCATGAAGCTCTGCCACTGGGCGTCACACAGAAATCTGGTTTGCAACTGTGAGAAGAAAGTACTGGAATAAAATGGGCAATAAGGCTGTTCTTATGTTCTTAATCCAGCACAGTCCCGTGTTGGGACCTTCATTTTCCAAACCTGGAAAATGTACCATATTTTTCACTCTATAAGACGCACCAGACCACAAAACGCACCTAGTTTTTGGAGGCGGAAAACAAGACAAAAAATATTCTGAATCCCAGAAGCCAGAACAGCAAGAGGGATCGCTGCACAGCGAAAGCAGTGATTCCTCTTGCTGTTCTGGCTTCTGGGATAGCTGCACAACCTGCATTCGCTCCATAAGACGCACACACATTTCCCCTTACTTTTTAGGAGGGAAAAAGTGAGTCTTATAGAGCAAAAGATACAGTATTTGTTTTAATATGGATTAAAACGAAATTGTTGTCTGAGTGCAGTTTTATCTACCATCTAGAGTTCTTCTCCGCACTTATGGTCAACAGAAACCTGACTACGTTTCTCACCAGTTATGATAGCTATTCCATAGTGTCTCTCTTTATTTTCTTGGGAATTAAATCTCCTCTTGGGAAGTGCAGTGGTCCACACAGAAAGTCAAGGCATACGGCTCTTCAGCTTGTCAGTGAGTACAAGACTAATTTCCTCTGAGTATGGAAAACCTTATCAGATGAAGGTAGATTCTCTGCTCACAAACCGAGGAGGTGGGGAAAACACCTGCTAGGTAAATTGGAGTCATATTATTAATACATAAATTTAAAATCCAAGCAGAGAGTTTCTCCTTCGGAAATTAACATTGCCATTTTACTTAAAGTAAAATGAATGGCATGAGGTTACTCTTCTGCATATCAGATGCATCGAACACAGGAAGGGGGTGGGAAAGAAACTCATTCCTTGTTCCACTGAATACAGAGAAAACCCTGAAGTCACCATTGGGTCAATTGAATCAGGGATGATCCGATCGTCAGAGATAAAAACAAAACAAAACCACATTAAACAAATGAGGGTCTTTTACAACCGGCTGTGTGATTTAAAATTCACCTTCTCCCAACTCAAGGTGAACCATGTGGTTAGGGGTTGATTAGACGGGTTGTCAGATTTATTAATAAAGCATTGGGTTTTTCAGGTACCATTCAGGACCAGAGGAAACTGGACTTTAACAGCAGTTGTGCAAAAACTGAAATAGCACTGCCCATTTAAACAGATGGTTGTTGGTTTATTTTGCTAATTATGCTTAGTATTAATGGTGGCCAACAATTTGGTGTAATATCTTTTTCGTTTTTTACCAACAACAACAACAACTATTCCTATCTGGTAGAACCTCCATTCCTACCTGGTAGAGCATATTGGGTGGAAGTCAGTGTCACACAATTACAAACATTTGCTCTGCACAAGCATTTCCCCTCACCAGGTGGAGTGAGTCCTCCTTTCCTCCCCCTATGTGCTGTTCTGGAGGTTCTTCCAACCACTCTAAGCTAATTTCAGCTACTGCAGGAGAGAGGGGCAAAACCCCATTGAGCTCTGTTAGCTGCCGATAAGTAAGGACTGGCAGGTGGGACCATTTATGGTGACCAGCAAGCCAGAAGTGTTACTGTTCCTGTTCTAAATGCATCAAAGGCTCTGTTGATCTCAAGGTGTTAGAGCTTCAACACTCCTTTTATATGATTGGCTAGGGCCAGTTCTTACACTGTAGGATTGCCAGGATTGCCATTTCCCCTTTCTAGATACAACCCACATCATATACACTCCAACATACCAGGACACATGTCATTCATGACTGTGCTCTTGTGGCAGCCAGTTGACTCATGCGAGAGCACGGTCCCCAAAAATAGGTGTCTTTGGGAGCCGTGCTCTCATGGGAGCCAAAACAGGACAATCAGAAGCAGGGGTGGCTTCTGTGATTCCAGCATGTCCTGCTCAAAGCAAGGCAATAGATGGGCTAGTCATGTTGATATTTTAAGATGGGTGTGGGACCTTTTTCAGTCTGAGGGCCTCATTCCCTTCTGGGCAAGGCCAGTGGGGCCAGAGGCAAACGTGGGTAGAGCAAAGAATGTAAATGTTACCTTTGTGTAGCAGGTTAGCTTCTATATGCACCCCTCTGTATCCTCCATCCAGGCAAGCAAAGGGCATTATCAGAGTTTAGGGACACATTTCAGCCACACAAAAATCCTCCAGGATGGTATAAAGCAGGGGGGAGTGAAGGATGTGACCTTGGAACACGGGACGTGGCATGGGAAGATTTCCAAGGGCCCAGTGCCCTTATGAATGGTCATTGCAAGGTGGTGGTGGTGGTGGTGAACGGGTGGGTCAGTGCAGTGCAGGCAAGTGACTACTTAGCAGCCAGCACTAACTTTGTGATAAATAAATACGGTAGAGGGAAAGACAGACTGAGAATGTGTCCCACTCATACATTGTCATTGGTAGGTGGCCAATAAATCCTTCCCCCCAAGGGAATGAGGTCCTCAACTCCACAAAGGTACAGTTGGAGATGATCATAAAATTTATCAGTGGGGAAATTGGCTGGCCAAGGGCTTAGTTAGTTGTTTTCTTTGTCTAGCAACAACCACAACACTGAAACTGTCTCCTCTCGTCCTACTTTCTTACAACGGCCATCCCAGCATATAGGAGCGTGATAAATCCTCATAGAAGGTGAGTGTTATTTTCAATAACGATGAAATATGGTCTTCCCACTTCCACCCCCAAACCAGCTAGATTCCTCATAAATATTATACTTCCATGCTCTTGCATTTCGTAACACTTGGTAATCTAGAGCACATTGCTGTGGAGATGCAACACCTCCCTCCCCAAAGCTCATATGTAAATGCATGGCACTGCTGAAATTTATGAAGGTGCTTTAGGCTGTCTTGAAGTATTTACTTGGAAGGAGACCAACAGAGATAAATTTAGTTGGTACTTTCTCTCAAAAATGGAGTTATTTGTTACCCAAATAAGCAAAACTTTGGCCAGAAGTGGACAAAGTACTTCAAATTTATTACTTATGCATGAAGTGTGACTTAACTTATATTTTTTTGGGGGGGGGGTTTCCATAGATGTTCCTGGTTTTTAACTTTTTAACTTGCTTTTTTTCATTGCGTTCTAATTGTTATGGTTAAGAATGGCCTTTTGGGGGTACAGTTTAAAGAGAAACTTGCAAAGAAATGAGGGTTTAGGCCATCAAAAGTTTAATTTGGCAGACGTCAAGGGAAAGATAACCCTACCACAGCAAACAAATAATTATTCAAATGCATAGTTTGAGCATCCTCTTACTTAATCATTGTATATCCAGTATTGTTATTAACACTCCTATAGGGCAGGATTCAACTAATGAGTCCCTTTCAGTGGAAGCCCTGTAATTTGTTTGCACAATGGGGTTCCCCCCTTCTCCTCTCCAGCGTCCCTCTTGCCACCCCCCAAATTGGGAGTCAAGAGAACCCCAGTGGGGGGGTGGGGAGGAATCAGTTCATCCAGCAAACCAATGACAGAACCATTGCCTTAGCACAATGTTCAATTCCTCCCATAATCCTTCGTGGCTGGTTGCTGCAACTTACCTCGATTTAGCATAGAGTTGCTCCCCTTGAACCATGAGTCCCAACACACTTCCTGGAGTTTCTGTATTTATTCATTTATTTCCCTTCTGTTATGTACTGAAGTTCTCACCCTGGGCCAGCAGGGGGATACTGTGGATAGTTTTCACTCAGGTCCACATATGCAAATAAGGGATTGAAAGTGACATTCAGTGATTGGATAGTTACAGAAAGTGGTTACAGTTACGTTGTACTGGAGCTCTATATAAGCAGGCTGGCTGAACCCTTCAGTTCAGTTCTTTTCTGGCCTGTGAATAAACAAGAGCTTTTTGAAGAATCGCTGTGTCGTCTGATATGTTCACCCACAACTTAACACCTTCTTCCCAAGAGCTCAGGGTGGTGCACTTGCCCCTCTTTTATTATCACAACAGCCCTGTCAGGGAGGCTAAACTGGGAGGAAGTGACTGGCCAGAGGGTTTAAATAAGGACCTGCCTATTTAAGCTCAGCACTCTTAACAACTGCACCACGTTACACTGCCTGATTAGCAAATGCAGACTTGAGCCAACCTCAAAGGAACTGAAAATGTCATGCCCTAATGTGTGATACATGTGACATATTTTCCTGAGTTCAGTCCCAGAGCCCTGCCCTGTACATAACAGATAATAGAAAAGCAAATTTTATGTATTATCACACATTTAATTATTAAGGTTTCCTAAGTTTCCAGACATGATTTCCAAATCATGCACAGCAGTGATCGCACAGCTGGGGGTGGGGGGGGGATAGCATGTAAATCAGCTCTTTGTATCTGAATTCTTGGAAGGATTTACAGTAAATGGAAAATCTGCTGGGAATTACATACGTATCTCAATTCCCAGTACAAACACTAATATAAAGTAGTAAAAATGCAGACCGAAATTCCAGAAGAAGTTGACTAATACAATGAGATATGTAAAAGACTTCTTTTATTTGCCGTAGTTCGGTTTTTCATTTCCTTACTTCCCTGATTGTTTCATTCCTGACTGTCATTATTAAGTCCCAGAGTGGAACTTAACCTTTGAAATTATTTGCACAGACCTACAGGAGCTGTAGCAAGTTATAGATGCACAAACACTGGTGGAGCACTGTACTTCCTCTGTGCAGAACTCTTGAGTTTCTCTTTGAGCAAAATATGTAATTCTGTCCCTGTCTTTCTCAGTTCTACCTGGAAATACCCTGGATTGCACATGATGCCTTTTGCATACAAAGTGTGCTCTCTGCCAGTGAACTATGGGCCTCCCTTCAAAACATCACATAACTATCAAAGACAGCATCATAATCAAGCTTAACATCTGCATAATGCATAGGTCTAGTGTCAAAACAGAATCCAGAGCCCAAGCAAAGTCGTCCTTAATATATTTTACTCTGTAAAACTAATACCAAGTGAGAATGCATTTCTTTAAAATCTGGCTCTTGCAAAATCTTTTTATGGTGCTCATTGGAACAAAACTTTCCATTGGAAATTGTCAGTTTTAATTACAGCTGGAAGGGCAGCTGCAGGACTTTTTATAGACCAGCAATGAAAACAGACTAAGCCACCTACTTAGGCAGAATGATTACATAAAACATAGAATATACTGAAAACAGTAAACGACCCTAACAGGCCAGGCTAAGGCTGCAACAGCAAAACGAATCAGATTTGGGCAGGAATGATGACAGCGTTACACATTTGTAGGAGAAGAAAAGCAGGAAAAAGAAAATACCAAATGATAATTAAGATGAGGATGGTATCTCATATATATATATATATATATATATATATATATATATATATATAAAATCAGTGGGGAAATAAATTGAAGGAAATAAAGAAAGAGAAAAGGATGAAGTGCTTCAAACTGTCATAAGTGCAATATATGGGTATATAAGTAGTATGATTATTCCAATGAATATAAAATTATTAACAAGATGATGATGGTATCTTAACAGGAGGAACGCCACAACATGTCTCTCACATGGGTTAATACTTAAGAAATAAAATGATAGGTAAAACCAAAATATGAAGATGTGAGTCCTGGTGAAATAAATGGGGTTCAACTTGCTCCAGTCAAGTTTATTTGCCTAAAACTGACCTGGAAATCGATCAGTACAGTATAATGTTCATCATAAAGAACTGCATTTATGATGGAAACCTTTCAGAGCTAAAACAGCCCAGTGCCCCCTAATCTGAGACAACAATCTGTCTTATTTATTTTCCATTATATAACAACCGGCACTGCTCTTATCTTGAAGCAATTAGCTTCAATTTCTGATACTAAATCCCTGCATTAGGGTTTTGAGGCAATCAGAAGGGCATATGGGAGCTGCCAAGGTTCCTGTGAACAACATGATGCTGTGGTGAGGATATATCTTTAATCACAAGCACCTGATCTGTGTATATGAAATAGTACATGTAACCAAGGTTAGGGATCAGCCTTAACTACTGAGTAGAAAAAAGGTTGTTTATATGAAATTAGCCAGCATACAAGATGAGACCCAAAGCTGTGAATATGAGGTATTGGGGTAGGAAAGGAGAGGTCAACAGGAGGTAATGTCCTTCACCTTTTCTTTCCTAGCAAAAATGCAAAACAGATGCAGTACAAGGTTGTTGTTTTTTCCTTAATGTTGTTGCACCCTGAGGCCCCCAAGCCCTTCCCCAAGTAAATAACTTGACACTGACACGCAATTTTGGTTTAAGTTAATGGAAAAAATTTAGGCCACAACTTTACACCAAAGTGAGTGGTATTGGCTTAGGCACTGGCAACAGACTATAACTGACTCCTGCCTCTCTGGCTGCCCTCCGGAGGCTTCGGGTTGCCTTCACTGAAGGCGACTGAATGCACCTTGAACACACTGGACACACCTTGTTTTAGAGGCGGAGAACAAGAAAAAAACATCTCCCCCTCTCTGCGCAGCATCCCTTCAGCGAAGAGGCAGGAGAAATGGAAGGGGCTCCGTTTCTCCTGCCGCTTCGCTGAAGGGGCGCTGCGCAGAGAGGGGGAGAGTTATTTTTTTCTTGTTCTCCCCCTCTAAAACAAGGTGCGTCCTATGGTCGGGTGCATCCTATAGAGCGAAAAATACGGTATGTATGCGACCACTGCTGCTTGGATGTTAATCGCCCAGAGATGGAAAGAAGATAAAGTCTCTACCAGAGAAGAATGGCAGATTAAGTTGATGGATTATGCTGAATTGGCAAAAATGACCAGAAGAACCATAATAAATAAATAAATAGATTTGTATACCACGCTTCATCCATAAATCCCATTATGCCTCTGTATAGCAGTTGCTGGGAATTGCAAATCTGGAGAGCACTGTTGTTCTCAGTCCTGCTATCACCGTCATCTTAGCAATACCCTTGGTGCCTTACATATGGCAGAACATGGAGGCCAGCGGGGTTCGAAGATATGCATGTTTTAAGTCAATATATACAGTACTGTAATTTGGTGGTTCTGACCTGATCAAGCTTTTCCCCTATCAGCCCACCTCTTGCACTGAGAGCCCACTTATGTCTGAACCGCTTATGCATTGCCAGTTTTTTAAATAAAAAAACCTGAATAATTATTTTGTGTGTGTAAAATTTTGCATAGAATTTTGCATGCATAGAAGATTTACATGTATATAATGCATATGAAGGATTCAAGCTGCATGCATAACTTTAGAAGTATTAACATACGTATTATTGCCAATTATATGCATTGTTGTATGCATTTGTTTATGTGCTTCTACTTTGGGAAACCTCAAGTAAGTATGCTTATAACAATGTGTATTATATACATAATACATATTATAAACATATAAAAATGGTTTGGATTTTTGGTAGAAACGGTGGATGGGAAACCTCATTTCTCTTCAAGTTCAAGGAGCAAGAAAAAATTGCATGGATAAGCTCAACATCAAGATTGTTCAGAAAATTCTATCTCTAATTATCAGCATGGGAAACAGTTCCCTGTATGGTTGTCAAGAATCATGGATTGCAGTAGGAGACTTGTCTATGCATGCAGCTCTGAATCAAAACTCCAATGTAGTCATCATTTTCTGGTATGAGATCTAACGTTTTAGAGAAAAAGTTGTAATTCCATGATTAT